GACATGCATCAACCAAGTCAGCGAGTCTGACCACCCAATCCCATTAGTCGTCTTTTATTACAAACATATGACAAATTTGGGACCAATTGTGACCCATTTACAAATGGTTTTGTTTACTTTTGAATTTGATGAGTAATAATTAATACTATCACTGATGTGATTCATATGATGCAATCAAATCATACTTCAAATATGTTTTGACAGTAATGACAGTGAGGTACATGATGATATTCAATGATAAACAGTGATATACGTAAGTCCATGTGTATTTAAGTCACTCAACACTAACTTGGTATTGTATGTAGATGGCTCTGAATAAACAGTATAATTACTGGGGATTAGAAAAATACATCTAAGCATTAAACTGCCCGAGTAAACAGATCATGGTTGTACCTGTGAGGGAAACATCTTTGTGGTTACAGCTGACCACTGATTCGTTGGTCTGACAGTTGGTGTTAGTTACTTTGTCTTGATCGTGTTGATGGTGAAGCAGGTTGATGGTGCTTGGATTCCCCAACAGCTCTTAAGATACAGAAGATGATTATTTGGATTTGCTGTATTTACACGACAAATCCCACAGCAGGTATTTCTTTTAGTCAATAATCATCCCCATTTTGTAGCTTGGGAGCCCCATTTTTTACTCTTAAAGGCTTTGAGTCTGCCGGACCACAGAATAAATTACCCAGGTAGTAAATCCCTGGTGTCTCAGTTGTATCAATATAACATATTCAGCAAGCAAAAGATATTAGTATTTAAGCAAATATGTCTCTAGTTCAGGAAAAATATTTCACTGTCGCCTGAGGTAATCTCTCTCATGTTTAAGAAATATTTGGCATTGTTTTGAAAAATATCTTATATGTGATCACAGCTTGTTCAGTCCTCCAAGGCGCCACAGTTTTCTGTGCAGAGTTGCGCCCCTTGGACACACCAGAAACCTATGATCGTGGTTCGAATTCCTTGTCTCCCCAAATATGTTTGCACGATTGTCTCATACTATACCCATGCTTGTAGGTTTCACCAAAGTGGTAAACGTCTGAGACCTGCATCACTTTTGGCTTTCCTCCAACATTTAGCTGACACACTGTGATATGCCTGGAATACTGTTCAAAGTAGTGTCAAACCCAACTAAGTCGCGATTAGTCTCTCAAGATATTCACTAGTCTCGAACTAGTGCCCGCGCCTATCCCTGTGTAGTTGGAACTGGTGTAATCCCTTTGAAATTGTTGTGGAACTTGAACCTGTACACACCCACTGAAGCTTAATAAACTCAGTCACACCTCGTTTTGTGAAAGGTTGCGGCCACAGAAAATAGTGTCAGATTACAACATGTATAGCAAATCGGAGCTTTCATGACTTAATCTGCCTTACTGAGCCAGTACTACACCGATGAACCTTAGCGATATGTGGAACACTTTCCTTGTACCCCAATAAAGCAACCCAAACAAGCCTACTTGAAAGCAAGTTCCTCATCATTATACAGTAAAAATGCCAACAGTAACAACTTCATGCCAAATGAAGTAAAAAAATATTGTGTTTATTTATGTTTTCATTTTGACTAACTCAATGCTCAGCATGCTCAGTGATAATCAAAAATATGTCAACCGTGTCGTCATAACGTTTTGGGCTCAAGTTTCTGTTTGTGTGTTTGTCTAATGCTGCACTCAACAACATTCAGGCTATGTGACAGTCTGTAAGTAATCTTGTCTGGACCAGACTGTCCAGTGACTGACCTCACGCACCCAATAATCAAGCAAGTCACCAAGTCTGACCATCAGTTCACTGTACACTCTTCCATCACCAGTAAACGATGTGTCATTTGCTGATGGTGAAGGGGTCCTAGGAACCTCCTCGATCTTGAAGTTTAACATTTGTACGGTAATTAGAAGGACCTCTTGACTTTTAGTCTTAATTTTGGTCACAGCTCTGCAGTATACATGCTTTATAACATGATTATTCAGCGAACACACTAATCTGTGAACTGTCCCATAAGGCTTGTTGTCATGGTTATCAGTAAAATATAAATCTTGTTTCTCATGACTGCCTGTCAACAAATATTTTTTCAACTCAAATTTGAATCCCATTATGCTGGTTGAATGGCAAGGGAGCATGACCATAGAGGTCAGTGGATTCATAAGAAACTTACTTGTAAGATTCGTAACCTACTGAAGCAATAAACTACACATACCTACCAAGTCAATGTTGAACAAAGTAATGATGAACAGGACTAGCTTTATAACTGGCCTAACCTGAGCAAACTGAGTGACGCTGAAGGATTTGGCCGTCAGTATCTGTAAAATGTTTTCCGTCTTAAAAAATAACAAAGGACCCTACCTACCAATTTAGATCTGTCATCGTTGGTTGCTAGAAAGGTACTTGTTATTTTTTGTCCTAAGGCACCAGAATCATGTTACTGCTGATTGCACCATTTCTATATACAGCATGTCTCACAGTCCCTTACCATACTAATTCCCCTTCCGTCCAGCCCTTACTGTAATGCTATAGCTCTACATAATGCAAGTCTAGATTTTCAACAGGTTCAGGCACCTCATTTGGGCTTCTTTTCAGTTTATTGGACATTCATGTTGGAGTTTTTTGTGTTTCTATGCCGCTTCCTATTGGGTGATATTAGATATAATGTCCCAACAGATCAGCAGCCTATCCAATGTACTTACCACATGTTGCTGCAGGGAGGTTCAGAGTGAGTCCATTGGACAGGAGTAGAGTGAGTGAATGAGTATGGTTTTATGCCGCTTTTAGCAATATTCCAGCAATATCAAGGCGGGGGCTCATTGACTTGGTTGATATAGGTCATCGTTCCCAATTGTGTGGATCGATGCTCATGATGTCAATCACTGGATTGTCTGGTCCAGACTCGATTATTTTTCAGACCACGTCATATAGCTGGGATATTGCTGAGTGCGGCGTTAAACAACAAGCAAACAAACAAATCAAATTTGCCAAGTCATATTTTGCATAAAGTTCATTAATTGCGGGTCCAGATAGAATTTTTTCTATCCCCATTCAGAGTTAGCCATTTTGAAATTAATCATTATATTGTGATACTGTTGCGTTAGTAAATCGATACTGGTATTGTGACCACTGACCACCCATGGTGAGATACATGCACTTGATCTACTGGACAGGTCAGCCAATCAATTAGTTCCACTCAGCCCTAGTATGTAATACTATCTACTATGGCTGCAGCAGGCTAAGTGGCCAGGGATAACATCAGTGATGGCCTACCAACTCCCCACCCACAGAGCACTAGGACTGTTGTACCTACTCCCCACCCACAGAGCACTAGGACTGTTGTACCAACTCCCCACCCACAGAGCACTAGGGCTGTTGTACCAACTCCCCACCAAGAGAGCACTAGGACTGTTGTACCAACACCCAACCCACAGAGCACTGGGGCTGTTGTACCAACTCCCCACCCAGAGAGCACTAGGACTGTTGTACCAACTCCCCACCCACACAGCACTAGGGCTGTTGTACCAACTCCCCACCCAGAGAGCACTAGGACTGTTGTACCAACACCCCACCCACAGAGCACTAGGACTGTTGTACCAACACCCCACCCACAGAGCACTGGGGCTGTTGTACCGACACCCCACCCACAGAGCACTAGGGCTGTTGTACCGACACCCCACCCACAGAGCACTGGGGCTGTTGTACCGACACCCCACCCACAGAGAACTGAGGCTACTGTACTCATGCCCCACCCACAGAGCACTGGGGCTGTTGTACCGACACCTCACCCACAGAGCACTGGGGCTGTTGTACCGACACCCCACCCACAGAGCACTGAGGCTACTGTACTCATGCCCCACCCACAGAGCACTGGGGCTGTTGTACCGACACCCCACCCACAGAGCACTGAGGCTACTGTACTCATGCCCTACCCACAGAGCACTATCGTTGATCACTCCCTAACCACAGATTTCCAAGGGTCTGCTGTACCTACTAGCTCAGTACATAAACCTCCACAAGTTGGGAAATAGGCTTGTTGCTGTAATCCCTACTTTCACGGACCACTGGTGTTAATGACTATTGGTAACCTGAGACCTACATGGTGTGTAGTACTGCGGTTACTAGCTGCCAGCAACAGTCACACTTTCTGTCAAGTGTTTTAGATTGTTTTACTGAGTGTGGAGGATCTTTTTACTGTGTGAAAGATGTTATTGCTGATGTAGTAGGGTTGGAATGACTGGTAAAATCAGTTAATTAACAGGTTACCAGAGAAGGCTGACCTCCATTAACCCCCTAACAACTTCCAACAACCTTTCTATACCATTGTACACCCAGAGGATTGGTGGAATAGACTAGCAATAGTTATTAAATCTTAAAGACTAGGTTTGATTTATATGGATACAACTCGCATGACAAGGTGTCACATTGATTTGAAACTTTAGTAGAGATATTCAGCCCCAAGTCTGCAGCAAATGACAGTCGAATACCCGATTTGAATGAATCATTTCCCAATTCTTTGGAATTAAAGAAAATATAACAATAAAAAAATCTAATTTTGAACAATGTCACAATGCCTGCAGGGCACTTAGTTTGGAATCCCAGATAGATGCCTGCGTATACCGTCTTAAAAGCATCATCATATGTCGGTATATCAATCAATAATCAAATTTATTACTCTGTATGTGTATAAGTAAAAATGCCTATAGATCTGCAATAAATAAATTTAATGCTAAATACGATCTAGACTGATCAATTAGATGTTTAAGATTGAATTTTGTCTGCCTGTGTCAATGAGCATCTTAACAATCGTAATTGGTAATCTTAAGTAATTTATATGATTCTGCAACAGAAATTTATATAAATTTTATTTTGTTATTCAAATATATTATATCAATATTTTGAGATACCATGACATCACTAGATGCAGCTTTGTGTACAAAATGTGAATCCTGCTTTTGCAAATGTTTGTTTTCAGTATACAATGATTGCTATTATTTGAGATGTTCTGATGAAATGACTTAATTTTTCAGAATTCCATGGACTTACCTCCTGACAAAGCTAAAGTACTTAAAAACTACGATGATGAGAAGAAATGGGATTTAATTTGCGATCAGGTATGTGGCACATTTTTCATAATCATTGCATGGTTTCAGCAGGAACAACCAGTCCAGCGGTTAATCTGTTCCTTGTCCATTGACTTTGTTGGAAAAATATTGTCCCTATATTCTTGCTTTTCAGGATTTTAATAATCCTCTATTGATTCTTATGTTATGACGTGACCTTTATTCATGTTAAGAAAAGAATAGAGTTTTTCAATACTCTCAAAATGTAATTTTATTGATTTTCAGTTCTTGAATGTTTAAGAGAATGTTGATCACATGGCTGTAGCCTTGCTCCATGGCTGTGCTGAAAGATAAGCCCATGGATGTGTAGTAATTCTATCCTCCCAATAGGCAAGTCTAGATATGTGGACAGTGCTCAAATCTCCTGCAGGGACAGCTGGTTTTTATTATTTTCAAAGTCTAGAAATCATGATTTAAACTAAAAATTATTGAGACTTGTGCAAGTCTAATATGGCTGCTTTGGTGGGAAATTGCTTGTGGAGAACTAGCAGCAAACTGATGGGTTTGATTGAAGCTAAATCTAATCAGGCAGTCACAACTGCTTCTGAAGGCTGGAGAGCCAACCGGTTTGTACCTCTCCTATTAAACATGTCGTGTTTATGCTGACAATAAGGCTCGATGCTGTGGAAGGAGTTGCTCTTGCAGACAAATTGCACTGCACAAGTTGCAGCAGTGTTCTGGTGCCAAAAAATGTATTGATTTGAAGGAGCAGTAAGCATGGTGATGGAGGTCTCCGAGCTGGATGGTTTACCTGCTATGGTTTCACTGAGAGTGCTTCCAAAATAACTGTCTTGACCTTGATGAATCTGGGAGTGGGTTTGACCCAACACAGTGAAGATTGTGCAGTGCACTATGGCGGCTTGACCACAGGGGCTGTACTGATACGGAGGGTTAGCTCCTTGTGTGTGGGTCTCAAGCTCCATGTGTGTGGGTCTCGCTGTGAGGCTGTGTGTCCGTATTGAATGAGAATCACTTGACCACACAATCTGACCTGATACAGAGGGCTTGACCACACAGGCTGACCTGATACAAAGGGTTGGCTGCATGTGTGTTTGTCTTGCCATGAGGCTATGTCTAGGTATTGAAAGAGGGTGGCTTGACCACAAAGGCTGACCTGATACAAAGGGTTGGCTGCATGTGTGTTTGTCTTGCCATGAGGCTATGTCTAGGTATTGAAAGAGGGTGGCTTGACCACACAGTCTGACCTGATACAGAGGGCTTGACCACACAGTCTGACCTCATACAGGGGGCTTGACCACACAGTCTGACCTCATACAGAGGGCTTGACCATACAGTCTGACCGGATACAGAGGGCTTGACCACACAGGCTGACCAGATACAGAGGGCTTCACAACACAGACTGACCTGACAAGCAGGGCTTGACCACACAGACTGACCTGACATGCAGGGCTTGACCACACAGTCTGACCTGATACAGAGGGCTTGAACACACAGGCTCACCTGATACAGAGGGCTTGAACACACAGGCTCACCTGATACAGAGGGCTTGACCACACAGTCTGACCTGACACAGAGGGCTTGACCACACAGTCTGACCTGATACAGAGGGCTTGACCGTACAGTCTGACCGGATACAGAGGGCTTGACCACACAGACTGACCTGATACAGAGGGCTTGACCACACAGTTTGACTGGATACAGAGGGCTTGACCACACAAGCTGACCTGACATACAGCCTTACAGGACTTGACCACACAGTCTGACCTGATACAGAGGGCTTGACCACACAGTCTGACCTGATACAGAGGGCTTGACCACACAGTCTGACCTGATACAGAGGGCTTGACCACACAGTCTGACCCGATACAGAGGGCTTGACCACACAGTCTGACCTGTTACAGGGGGTTGGCTCGATGTCTATGGGGCACCTGTGCAGATCTATAACTGAAGGAGGATGGCTGGTAAGGCTGTGTATGTGGCCAGCCTCATTGATTGGTTGATTGCATGTGATCTTTTCCTTATGATGCGTGACATTGCTCATAATATTAACCCCTGACTGTCTGGGAATATGCTGAACGTGATACTTAACAATACTTCGTAATCCAGATAATTGTTAATCTGATACCCGTGAAGACCCATCAGAGGGAACTACAAAGATCAGGTTCCTGACTTATTTGATAATGATATATATTTTCATATCTCATTTGTGTAGATCGATGCTCATGATGTCAAACACTGGCTTGTCTTGTCAAGACTCAGTTATTGACAAACTACCGTCATACAGCTGGAATATTTTATCGAATATTAACAAACAAAACAAAAAATGTTAATCTGTCCTGTCGTAGAGGTAGACATGGTAGAAGCCTAAAGATAGCCCTAATTGCAAGCTATTGCCTTGAGGCATTATGCTAATTGGTGTCTTGTCTTGTTTCATGTCTGTCAGTAAGGGGAGTTATGTGTGTAGTGGATAGTGTACTTTAGTTGATAGTCCTGTCCTCAAGCATCAGCCCTCCACAGGTTACACTGGGAAATGGAATACCTCCATCCGTTTGTGACGTGTGTGATGTAGATGTTTGTCTCCGGTGTTGTTCACGTGGTTCATGTCATTGACCTTTGGACATGTTGTGTTTGTAAGGAGGGACTGATGAATATTTTTAACTGTCCTTGGATGGCAGTCTGTAACTTTAGTCACTAGTCTGTGGCTTGTCTTCAGGAAAATATCTTTTGATCTGTCTTTTCCTTCCAGTGAATTATCTGGTCTCATTCAGAGGCTGACATTCAGTCTTCAATCTGCGGCAAATGTCAGTAACAACAATTCCCAATTCATGTGACCTTATGATGTGATGATTTAGTCCCGATCACTTTAATTTTACTGATGACTATCATTATTTCTATAGACTATAATGTTTGGCTTTGGCACTGGCTGAAACAGAAGTGTTAACCTCTTTGTTCTCTGACCGTGTGGCCCCGGGTAAGAATAGGTCCACACCACTATTTCTTATTGTAAGAGATGACTGCATTGGATGGTATGGTCAGGCTCAGTGACTGGGTTGATGGTGTGTCATCGTACCCTGACAGCAGGGGATGTTGCGTATGTCCTGGAATTGCCTCTGATGTCAAAACAATATCCCACTGGGTATTCATGTGGCATCTCCATCAGTGCCACAGTGAATTAATTTTGGAAGTTCCGAGCCTTGGCAGGAATCGCGGGGGACAGATTATCTGTAATTCCTAGCGGTCTTCGAAATAATTTTAAAACCTAACAAGACAGTCAGGCAGGTGACCCATAAGTGTTGCCTTGCCATCTTCAAAGTTACCTGCCCGCATTCAGACATTATTATTATTGAAAAATTGCAAAAAACTTACTGATTTAGTTGAAATAGTGCAAACAATTACTTGAGAATCTACAAGAAATCATGATAAAACTGAATACGTAAGTAGTCGTAAAATTATCTGCCAGATAGTGGGGCAGGTGGAGGACATTTTCTTGCAGCCCGACAGAAAAGTTACCAGTCACGGGCAGGTGGGCAGGCAGTTATTTCCGACACTGATTCCAAGATGCGATTTAGCTACTCTTTATATTACTCAAAGTCTTTTTCTGAGAGAATGTAGAAATATGTTGGTGTCCTGTTTGTAAATGGTGAAATCAGCTCTGTTACTCTATTGATGTCACTTAAAATCAGTGTAGGACAAGAGCCCTCATGGACATCATCTCCGTGGACAAACCCCCTGGGACAAAGTCCCCTTAGGGCAGAAGCCCTTATTTGACAGATGGGTAAAAAACCCTACCTGAGCTATCAGCTATTATTTTGCCATTTATATAAGTAAATGTCCTACTAACAACATTAAATAAATGTTGTTAAAACGCCCAGGGGTTTAAACGACATGTAAAATCAACCATTGATGAGGGAAGCTTCAGAGTATTAATTAATAAAACATCTAAATGGTTTATTTGCTACCGGAAAGACTTACATCAAATGGGAGTGCAGCTGTACGAAGGCCTTAGGACGCAGAGTTATTCTCAGAACAACACTGAGTGTGACTTATATCTTCTGTTTCTTTACTAATGAAGCTTATAGGGCTTTTGTCCTTGGGGGTTGGGGGTTAGGTCCCAGAGGTCCTCTGTCCATTAGGGCTTTTTGTCCATTAGGGCTTATGTCCATACACCCTTACAATTATGACACAATGAACATCATATTTGTGACACCGAGTTCATACCCTGCTGATTTCATGCTGCTATGGTCCTCTTCACAAACAATGAACAGCTGCTAATATGCTAAGTATTTCACCTGTGTCTGTATAAGGATCTATACCGAAAAGTCGCCTTTACAGTATTAAAGAAGTTGTTATCTATAAATTGTGTCTACTTTGTCATCCGTCAACTTCAAAGTAATGCCTATGAAACAGTACAGTACAGATGTTGAGAGAGAATGCATTATCTGTGTCATGTAATCGATAAGCTGGAGTCAGATATATATTACACCAGTAGACCCTCTGCTCCAAAATGAAGTGGAAGTTTTCCATGTTCCATGACCCAAGCACACTGACAATCTGATGCCTTGACTTGAAATTAAGAGTTGAAAGTCAGATTTCATTTAAGGAATTCTCACATAAAGTACCCTTGAATCTTTTTTTTTGTCAGTTGGATTACAAAATGTTTGATCACAATCTGATGCATGTGGTTGAAAAGAAATATTAACAAAATTCAACTAAACATTATATTTATTTTAAAAAATCATATTTTATGTCAGTTTGTTTATTAAACCAATCTTATGTCATACACTTGCCTCACTTACAGACTCAGATGTAATTTTGAATAATTCCCATAATTTTGTTGTCATCACATGAAAAAATCTTTAGATTTCCAACAAAATTCTCCCTCACCATCAACTGTCCTTAATCAGTTTGCAAGAAAATAGCATCTTGCCCTACTGGTGCTATGCATCATAATGTGTTATATGACCAACACTGGATGTAAAGTAGACAATGTTCCGGTGCATGTCTCCGGCCTCACTGTGCTTGTCTAGACA